TTCATTGGACTAGTTTAACTAAATCAATTAGTTAATGGATAAATTAGTTTATTTATAGACTTGATAACATTTCTGGACTTTATATTGAAAATAGAAAATTAAAACGAGATTAGAATTTGATTATTGGACTTAATTGAATTAGATTAACGTATTTAGCTATATTGATACAATTAAACTTATTTATTTGATTTAGTTAGTTCAATTAAATTAGTGAGTCAAATAAATAAAACTGGAGGATTGGATAAATTAATTTAATTGGGTTAGTTAGTATAAATAAACTATTGAACTAATTTAAAGTTGTTATTGAGATTAGATTATCATTAATGATTATTATTTCGAATTATTGCCTAAGTCAAGTTATTATTAAAAGGGTTATTAAATAAATTATATAAATTATGTAAACTGAATTTTGAACTGAAATTGATTATTTAAATTCGAAATAATGAAATTATTATGTAGTTAATATAATTGGACTAGTTAACTATTTAACCAAACAAATTAAGAAAAACCGAGTTGGGTTATTATAATTAAAGAAAATAATAAGAATGAACTGGAAATAAACAGTTAGTAAGATTTATTAATTTAATATTTATATTTAAAGAAGGAATTATGAAGTTAAAGTAATTAAAGGTTGGATATAAAAGAAATAACGAAATAATAGAATAGTTATTGATTTAGAATTTTGATCAATATTAGAAGGAGAATTCAAGTGAAGATCAAGCTAGAGATTTTATTAAGGAGATTATCGCAATTTAAGGTAAGTTCTATGTCAACCAAAATGTTTTGCCTCGTACTTATATGTATGCAATATTTGCACTATGTGAATTATTTATGAATTGGAAATTATATGTTTGACATGGATCGAATATTTTGACTATATGAATATTGGTGGATTATTACCTTTTATGGATGATTAAATGTATATTCTTTTTATTAAAGAATATTGGTGGATTTATATTTATTACAAAGGATATTTTGAGAAAATATGACAATAATGATTTGGGGAAAACTTAAAGTTTTCATAATATATATTCTTACGTCTCGAGAGAAACACGAGGCGTGGGTGGTTAGGGCTACTACTACTTTTGGTGAAATTTATTTGGGTCGGTAACCAGTCCGGCAATGACATCCTCCGGTAGACATCCCGGGCTTTTATTTGAGGATCAAAGATCCTTTGGTGGTCGTAGTAGTAGTTACCTAATTTACCCTTGGACAATGTCCCTTGTGAGTAGGTGGTAGAAAACATCCTGCCTACTTGGGTTTCTTACTACTCGGAGGGCTTGGAATCCCTTTTAGAGGGTGTGCACACTTAAGGTAGAAATTCAGCTTCCAATTGGTGGTCGGTGGGAGCCGGAATTCCGGGATGAGCCGTAGACAACAACGACTCATTGGACTCGAGGAATCTTGAGTTTCGCCCACTCTTAAAAGAATCTAAAGTATTACTTTTGGAGGAATTGAAGGATGATATTATCTATTGTGGAAATTATTTTATGACATTAAACCATTTTGGAAATATGAGAGACTACTTTTCAATATATATACATATACAAAAACCTATTTTCCAAATTATATTATTTTACGGGTTCGGGTGGAATCTTACTTAGCTCTAAAGCTAATTTTTGTCTCTTTTCTCTTTTTCTCTTTGCTCTATTGTACAGATGATTATGATTATGAAGATTGATGTACTTGTTGCCCGAGTGTTCCGCTAGTTGCACACGTTTGATTAATTATTGTTGTTTAAAATTGTAATCCATAAACTTGTTTTAAGTTTTATCCGATGGCTACTTGAATTTATGGTGGATAGCCTGTGCACTCAATCATGTATAGGTTGAGTGTGGCGGTGACACACCTGTTTTTCCATTAAAGACTTCCGCTGTACTCTAAATATGTTTTATAATAAAGATGTTTTCATTTCAAAATGTTATTTTATTTTGGTGGGAAAAATGGGGGTGTTACACAAAACATCCAAAAAATCATCCAAAATACAAAGAAATCTATCAAAATCGATCTGAAAATTCCAAGATCTGAAAAAGAAAAAATTCAGGAAAAACATTCTGGAAATCGTGAGCATCCGCCACCCTTCAAGCTGCTGATGTGCATCATCTGGCATATGCTGCGAATAGGTTCAAGCTGCTGAAGGAAAATTCTGAAATTCCAGCAAAACAGATCTGCGAAGGTCAACGCCGAGAAGGAAATCGGGAAACCTAAGATCTAGGTCGCCGTCCACCGTCAACACCACCATTGTGCACCAGGCTCCAGATATCGCCGTCATCGGAGCTGCATGGACGTCCGCGCCGCCGCCGTGCATCATTAGCTGATACTCGCTGCTTGTAGGAAGTCACCTACTCCCATCCCAAACCTGACCGGAGATGTCATCACCGCTCCGGCCACCATCACGCGTCATAGCAGAGGTTTTCCGCCCACTGGTGCCCGCCACCTGTTTCCCGATCCCGGTCGCCGTCATCCACAGTAAGCTAAAGCTGGTCCGCCGCCGCTACTGGATTTCACCGCTCGCAGCTGCAGAGCTATTGCAGCACCGCCGTGCTTTGTCAGAGAAGCCTATTCTCCGCCAGCTCTAGATCTGGCTAGTTGTCCTGAAATCTGCCCAAAGTATGGAATTCGTGGAACGAAGCACAAGACGCGAGTTCTACCGCTTCCACCACACAACCTACCTACGACCTGGGAGCTCTGTGAACCTCTGTCGGCCGTTAATGGCGAGTACATATCAGGGGACGATGGACGAAGCTTTGTTCCCCACCCAAGTTGTGGACACAACGACGAAGCCGCAATCAGAGCCACAGTCGCCGGAAAACCCACGCATGGTAGCAGCGACGTTCACCGATGACGCCTTACACGCAGCGGTAAAAGCACCTGAGAAGTAGTGGCAGCTCCTACGAACCCCTTTTCGCTCCTCCGACCATAACTGACCACAGTCTATCGTCCTCCTGACCGAAGGTCGCCTCTCTTACCCGCCTCCATTTCCGGCGGCATCAAGGACAGGGCTGAAGAGTTGCCTTCCTTATCTCCAGGCCTATGACCTTTCGCTTTACTCCAGATTTGATGCCAGCTGTGGGAAATGAAGGGCCAGACTAAGACATGCCAACAAGACTCCTGCAATTAGTATGGAATGGGTCCATGGGAACAGGACCGCAGAGTTACCGCCTATCTCCTCATGGGGCATATCCAGCTAATCCAGTCTGGTTTATCTTCTCAACATTTGGGACGGACAAAACTCATTGATGGGTCAAAAGTGGTCAATTTCTATGCAATTTCTATACGAGCCAAGATTACATCAAGCCCAAGACTGATTCTCACCAATAATAATGGGCCAGACCATTTTTGGGCAAGTTCTTTCAAGGGGCTAGATTTCAACCCATCAAATATTTCAGCCCACTTTAAAAAGATAAGTACACGTTGATTTTAATATTATTTATATTTCTTTTTTGTTGGGTGAATGTCACACTATCACGCACTTATGATCAAATGCCTAGTAGAGTGTGGCTTGAGACCCATCACTAGGATTTAAAGCCCTGACTCTCAGGCACAAAGCCCTGATCAAGTCGGGCACGAAGACAAAGCCCCGATCAAGTCGGGCACGAAGACCGGTCTTAGTCATTTCTCGAGTGGCGACTGTTTCTTACGAATGGCCCACACATCCATTCTATTAAGTATTTTATCATTACATTAACAATTCACATCTCCACTTGTTTCAAGTGACGAACTCCCGATCGGAAACATAAATCCCAAGAAAAAAAATGTATGTTAAATGTGTAGGTACAAAGATGACTTTACTCATTTTCACCTCGTCTCCACTCGCCTCAAGGAGTGGGGGACTGGGGGGTCAGAGTTTCTAGATGAGCAGAAAGTATCACGCATGAGCAGGAACGAGAGCTGAGTTGGTTGAAGATGAGTTGAGCTAGATTGATTGTGCCGGAGGAGACTTACCTTCCTTGTTTTATGTTGGGGGCGCTAGGTGTACTCTTTTTCCCTTTATTAGGATTTTTCCCACTGGGTTTTTTCCTAGTAAAGGTTTTTAACGAGGCACCTCCCCATCATGGACAAGGGTGGTGGTCCCCCGGCCGGAGAGGAAGAAACCAAAGACAGAAGAACGTTGCAGCTACAGTTTGGACTACTCCCTTTCGCCTCGAGTACTCTCGACTCAGGGAGTGGGGGACTCCTGATGGAGTATATGGACTCCAACCCCCCGGTCTGCCGATTACTGGGTCTGGACAGCGGGCCACACACGTTTAGCGGATATCATTCATATTATTGTACATTTTTATTATTCAGATGTTCTGGATTAGCTTTTTATACTATCAATCCATTTATGTAACCGGGTCTGTCAGACCCATATTAGAGGCTGAGACCCGGATTTTCCCTATATATACTCCTTATAGGAGGCTTGTAAACCATAACCAATATTAATTCATTCTATACACTTTTTTTTATTCCTTCTCCACTCTTGTTCAATCTCTCTAGATTATAGGTTATGGGTATCAATTATCCAACATCAGCCAATGCAGCCACTTCAGCCACACCTTCATAAATTTCAGCAGAATCAGCCAAATCACCCGATTTTCGTGCTACCAAACCGGCTCTATATCTTATGTTTGTAACAACATGTAAAGTAATTGTGAATGAAATGATCTTGTAATGCATAAATAAAATGAATGCATAGCTCTTAAAATTCTTTTACAATAATTGTACAAAAAAATTATAGAGAAACAAAGTATAATCTTATTCGATAGTTGACTTGGCGTACAATTAAAGCTTGTTTCGTAATACTAAAATTAGCTGAATTGGCTGAATTTAATGAAATTGATGAAATTCTGGCTGAATTAGCTGAATCTATTGAATTGTGAAAAAATGAAATGTAAAAGATACTTTATCAATTAAATTTAAAAAAAAAACATTATATGAAAAATGGTTAAAATGGTACTCTACGATACCATAAAAGTAACGCATATCTTACTTATTTTGATTATTACGCACGCGAAACTAAAAACTTAAAATTAAGAATTTCATTAAAAAATGTAGATTTTTTTTTTCAACACAAATTGCATTTTTTTTTATTGAATAATGAAAATCGTACAATGTGAGAAATAAGGTAAAATAAAAAGTACATAAAAAGAAATGAAACAAAAATAAAAGCTACTCCCACGGGAAATCTCTAGATTGGGACCTAGTCCTCATGCCGTGTCGCCTTTTGTTTTTTTGAGATTTCTTGTAGATCTTCAGTTGCGTGTTTAGATTGTCTGTTGGCAGACAATTTTCAGAGGTTACAAAATTTGCTTTGCAACAGATTGCGCTGTTGAATTTGGATTTCCTGATTTCTTCGGGGTACGAAATAGGAGGACGACGATCGCTTTCGGTTGCATGTCCTAGAAAGTCATCTCTGTAGAAAGAGTCATCAGAATAATCAGAGGCATCTGAGTATGCCTCGATCTGTGGCAACTTAGGTTGTTTCTCTGAAGATAAGACAATTTGATTTTCGTTGCATTCTGATTCTATTCGAAGATCACCCTGAATCTGAAAATTTAAGATTAGTTTGGAGATGGATGTAGGATCCTCTGATTCAATTCTGCTCCTCATTTGGAAGATGGAGTCATCCTGCACAGATTTTGGTATCCCTACAAAATTAGAGAAAATATTGATAAATTGCATTAGACTAGATTTTTGAGGTCTCATAGGAATCTTAATGAAGCTCCCCTTGTATTTGGCAATTTTCACGTAGCAACCTGATTTGTTTGTTTCTAAAGAAACTGTGATATCTCCAAATCGCTTATGCTGTTTAAAACTTGGTTGATCCAAATTTATGAACTGAGATATGGACCAGATAATTCGGGGAGCGAGGTCAAGATCTACTTCCAATTTGAGCAACTGGGATTTGTTAATTTCGAAAAGCACCAAATCGTTAATTTTCACCGCGAATCTGAATATTTTAGATTCGATGTTGACCGAGTCAAATCCTTCCTCTCCAAAGAAAGAGAAATTTTCAGAGGCATCTTGCGCATCCTCGATTATTTCAATCGATCGGTATTAGTAATATCCAAAGCTTTGACAATAATTTGTTTCTCTCTTAGTGGTGAAACTTGGCCTGAGATTGAAATGCCACTGAGGTGTTTTTTGTCTGCATCGAAACGAACTATGTCTGCCCATGTGAATACCTGTGTGTTACCAGAGGTGTGCGTCTCCTCTACATGTCTCTCATCGAGTGGAGCCCCCGGTATGGGAGAGAGTTTGTCGGCAGTGGGTCCAGATTTCAAAAAGTGGGTGGGGGGGGGGGACTACCGGCTTGGAGTTCGCCGGTCTTCGATTGCCGGAACCAGAACCTGATGCTTTCTTCCCAACATTGAAATATGTCTTCCCATCGTCGCACTGTCGACGGTCTCTAGAGATTCTCCGACCATCGGTTATGAATCTTCTCCCATGGTTGTTATTGGTTTCTCTCGTGCGACGTTCACTGTTGAGGTTGGGCGAGATTTCTGATTCAAAATCGAATCCGAAGGGTTGCGCTGAGATAGGAGTTTCAGAATCGTCAAATCCTATGAGATGATACCGATTAGTGGTGTCAGCAATCCCGATTTGATCCGGGACTAAGTTCCGGTGCGTTGGGAGGCGTTGATTGAGGAGATGGGGGTGGCGCCGTCCCCTGTTGACCGTGCGCCAACCATCCTCCGTGTCCCCTGTAATAAGTGTGAAGGGTGAGTGATGAGGGTGAGCCCTTTCCTGCAGTTGACGAGCATCTCGTCGATGTTCCAGAAGGAGTGGCCTTGTATTCAGGTAGTTGCTGTGATTTTGGCCTGTCTTTGGGTATGTAGAAGAGGGACGCAGGGTGTGATGTGCATGGAGCCTCAGATAATCCCGTTTCTAATTCCTGCTTGAACGAGCAAATCTGGCACTACGCGAGTAACGAGACTCAAGATGGTAATAGCAATTACCCGCTTTGGGTCTATATTCTCCATTTCGCTGGTAGCTGCTATCCAAAGACCTGGGATACCTTGGTTTATGATAATTGTTGTAGCTGGACCCGTCGGTGAAGCAGGGGCAATTCCTTGATGTATGACAGTAGTTATCCCCGAAAAAATGTTGATTGGCCCGGCGACATGGGGGTTGCCGGAGTTCCATATGGCTGTATCAAGAATTGACTGAATTTTTAGAGAGATGAAGGAGATTCTCTCTCTTCATTATTCTTCTCACAAAAGATTCCAAAATCGCTTGGAACCCTTAAAAAATGTAGATTAAACTGATATGATGAAAATTAGAGCATTCATGTATATGAGGTACAAAAATGTACATATAGGGCTCAAACTAAATAATTGAAAACTATACATCTAAAATTCCAAACATCATGATATTTTTGTTTTAGTTAATTTACTACGAAGTATTTTGTTTAGTTTGTTAAAATGCATTAAACATTCACGAATAAAGAAGCACTGTTGATAAGTAAATTAGTAAAAATCGCATAAATATTTATCTAAAAATTGAGTTTTTAGTTGATAGTTTTTATCAGTTGGATCCTAAGTCAATACATTTTACCTTCAAATTTATTAATCATCGAGTCTTAAATATATATAAAAATCAATTTTAATATTTACTTTATAAAAAAAATTGAACAATATGTTCTCGGACATACTGTATAATTTAAAAACATATAGTACTAGTAATACATTATTTATAAAATAAAATTTTAACATATATCCAGAAAAAATATTTTATCATATATTCTTTACAATAATTATTCTTTATAAACATATATTAATATAAATAATTTAGATTTAAGATTTCTTTTTTAGTTCTTATCATGACTAGAAAACCGTAACAACACTATACAAGTAGTTTCAAAGAAAAAATGTTTAACAAAGTAAAATAATGTTATAAAATTGTTAGGGATCTGTAAATAGGTGTTTGAAAACAAAACAATGTCTCAACGTCACACAAGAATTTCGAAATAAATGGTTAATATGAGAATATATTAAGAATAAAGTATAATTCCTACATGGTGTTTTTTTATGAAATAATTCTAAATATATAACCAAAATATAATTAACCTACAAAAATATGACTCTAATAACTTCAGTGAGTATAATTTTATTCAAATGTTACCTCATAATCACTATAAAACTTACACGTAATAATTTATTCATTTTTTTAAATATTTGCTTATTATTTGACAATAATAATTGCTTTCATTAAAATGAATTCAATATTGCGAAGCAAATAAAATTGTACTTTTACGTAAGAATAAATATGTATGAAGATGAAAATAAATCATCTGTGGTACTTTTAATAAAAATATACCAACTAAAACTATATTTAATTAAATTTGTTTGTGTAATTGTGTCATATCTCCCTAATCCCTATGAGTAGGGATGGACCCGGGCCGGGCCGGTTCCGGTTCCGGGCCGGGCCCGGGCGGGCTTTTTTTCGGGTTACATGGGCCCGGAACCGGCCCGGGTTGATACCGGGTCCGGGCCTAACCGGGCCGGGCCGGGCCGGGCCCGGTTCAATGTTTTTTTTTTTTTTTTTTTTTTTTTGACTTTCTTGTTATCTCCCTACCCCCCCCCCCTCACCCCCACGCCCCAAATCTCCCTAAAACACCCAGCCCTACCCTAGGAAAAGAAAAAAAATTGAAAAAAACCAAAAAAAAAAAAAAATGAACCGGGCCCGGCCCGAACCGCCCGGGCCGGTTCAACAAAAACAGGGCCCGGAACCGGCCCGCCCGACCCGCCAAAACGGGCTAAAAGCCCGGAACCGGCCAACCGGGCCCGGTCCGGTCCGGGCCCGCACAGTAGCGGGCCGGTCCGGTTCCGGGCCGGTTCGGCCCGGCCCAGTCCATCCCTACCTATGAGTCAGGATTTGAATCTAGTTTCGAATATGAAAAGAAACAAGTGCCCATTGAAACCAACAGAACAATGTCATTCTGGCAAAATTATAAGAGCATCTCCAATACTATAATGTGCACAGTGCACATGTGACATGAGTGATAGCCACATAAATATTAGGATATAAATTATTTCTCTCTTTATTTGAATGATTTTATACAATTTTGGTAAGTTTTTCCCTGCAATGTCAACAACAATGTCAACATCTAGACGGTTTCCTTGACATTGTAGAGAAAAACTTACCAAAACTGTATAAAATCATTCAAATAAGGAGAGAAAGAATTTATTTACTAATATTTATGTGATCATTTCTCATGCCACGTGTGCACCGTGCACATTTTATCATTGGAGATGCTCTAAAAGGGCATGCTTTGGACAATGGTGAAATGTTTTACCCATTATCCCTCGCGGTCTCACCCTAGGAGTTTAGGACAAGTGACAATCAGATCAAATACTTCAACTGTATACAAATTGTTTCATCCAACAGCTTATTGAAACAAACTCATCATCTAGTCCAGCCTTACAAGATCATATTTATCCTTGGTCAATATATAACCCAAAACAAGTATACAACTACTTGAAGCACACAAAATTTACGTTTTCTGTTTTGGGGGGAAATTACATCAGACAGGAAAAAAGAAGGCAATAACCATTATTCTATAACAAAGCAACAATATGGTACAAATTACCAACGCAAGCACATGATAAAGATGAGAGGAAGGAGTGAAGAACAATCATGATGAGGAAGACCACTCCCTAGTCCTCTCTTTGCTTGCTCCAAATGCCACGAATATCACTCAACTACAAAGCTGCAAGGGTTATAAAATCACAGCTATTTCAAGATATAAAACTACACCCTATCTAGCGTCGATAGTCAGAAGGTGGAGGCCGTCTACTTGACCCTCTACTTAAAGATGCAAATTGATTCCCGCGAGGATGATGAATGTATCCTCCTCTACCAACTCTAGGGCTGCTCTGCTGGGAGCCCACCACACCAACGCCCCACTGATCACAAGGTTGATAGTATCCACTCGGATGTGGCGGTGGTGGTGATGGTATGTGAGGATGGGGCGCATGATAACTTCCTCCGTGTTGTCGATTATAATAATTCCTACTCTGGGAAACCGATTGCTCGACCCTTGCATAATTAGGATTAGCCCCCCTGTACGACCCTGTTGTATGAGGAACATAATATTGATGTCCTCCAGCATCTCGGGCATGATAACTTGAACTATTCATGGGTCGAGTCTGTCCATGACCATTGTTATATCTGTTTGATTGGTATACTTGGTGAGACTGCGGACCATATGCACCCGGATAGGATGTCTGTGGAGGTGGGGGTGCATATCTATGATCACCACCATACTCACCCCTACCCCTACTGCCCCTGTCAATTTTTATCTGTATGCTGTTAGCAACAAGTCGGTGTGCAGCCTCTCCCAGGTGTCGATCACGTATAGCTCCTGTCATGTCATGTCTGCAAAATATATAATAATTAAAATAAAAATCACCAGAAGGGTGTTTTTCCTCCCAACACACATATAGATTAAAGCAACCAAACCACCATGGATATATCTAGGTTTTCTTTACCTTCCGTTATCTGAATGTTTCCTTCCAGAATCTTCATGCCAAAGTACAGGGTCTGGTTTCATATCACCAAAACCGACAGTCTGCAAACATAAGATGGGTCACAATGATGTTCTATAGACCAATATTATCAACAACAACAATACCCCAGTGCTGCAAAGGCTCCTAACTACGGTGGGGTAAGGGAGGGTCGGATGTACGCAGCCATACCCCCCGTACTTAAGCACAGAAAGACAGTTTCCAAATGACCTGTGATGAAAATCGCGTCGAAATTTGCATAATCTGACTGCTACTTCATAACAAAGAAGCACATACAATTTAGCGAGTCATTTTGCTTTATTCCATTACACTACCAAGCCAAGAGTAGTGAGTCTTTGGCTCAATTGGAAATGATGGAATTGTATAGACCGATATTATAATAATAAATACTCCCTCCTGTCCTAAATAAACTTCATAGTTTCACTTTACGGTTTTTAAGAAAGTGAAATTTTTACTTTTGACTTTACCATCATGCCCCTACAAAAAGGTATCATGCCCTTACAAAAAGGTGATAAAGTGTGGTGGGACTGTGGGAGAGAGAAAGTGGGTGTAAAGTAGGTAATAAAGTAAAGGTATAGGGGTAACTTTATGTTAAAAACTTGCCAAAAATAGAAGTGTGAAGTTTATTTTGGATCTACCCAAAAAGGAAAGTGTGTAGTTTATTTAGGACCAGAGGGAATATTATTCTTATTCTTAGTACTATTATTATGATTATTATTAAAATTAGAAGAATACTACTTTGGTATTAAGTTATTTGTTCTGTATTCTTTTTCAGAAAGTATAGTTTATATTGATCAATTTCCATTTTTAGCTTTTACCTTGCTTTTTCATCATCTCTTTCATACTTTTTCATCTTATTTCATGCTATTATTTTTTATACTTCTTCTACATTATTAAATACCCCTGCTTTTTCTTAATAGTACCAAAGATGGAAGGAGTTATAATCATAATGTTAATAGTAATAACATCAATAATGATGATAATAATAAGAATAATAATAGCTATATGCATTATTCCATGAACCATGTGTAACTACATAAGGAGTAAATTATTTTCCTTCACAAACCCGAAGGCAAAAAAACAAGGTTTCATTAGGTGGCATTACTTTTCCTTTTCCAAATAAATTCAAAATACATGGTTTTGGGGACTGAACTCCAACCCCCCTCCCCCCATTAGCAATTATGTGGAAAATGGGAGAAAAAATAGGTCGAGACATAATCATCCAGTGTCCATGGGTACTTTGGTCTTTGTATTGATAACTGCCTTTCACTTCCGTAGCTAACTGCCACTAGAATTTGTATACTCCAGTAATTTCACTCCCACCAACCAAAGATAAGAATTCGGATTTTCTACAATTCTTTTTTATTCTATTCCCATAAAACTTAAATTCCTTTCCCCCAATATTCCTTCCTGATCAAACAACACCTAAATGAGAATTCTATACAGATCATATTCAAATGATATCAAGACAACAAATCAACAACAATTTGGAATATCAATATTTTGATACTGAATACCTTCTTTGGGAAAGTAACCCCACTTGGTGGTCGCGCAATGTGCTTATGAGCATCTGGCAGTTTGTATATTGCACATCTGAAAGCATACATTGGAAGGTATTCCGAACTTAGGTATTTTACCTACTTAGATCAATTGTCTGTCTTTTTAACAGAAGAAACATTAAAGTTCAAACTTCTTACATGACTTGATTGTCCATAATATCTTCCATCCCTTGAACAGGTGATCTGAAAATTGGAGGGCAGGGATCTCCCGCACAGAGGGATAAATAGCCATTCATCCCACCACTGTACACAACATTTAATGACGAAGCATAATTATACAGAACATCAGAGTAGAAACAATGAAATATGGACTAAAAGTTTTACAGAACTAAGACAAGTGTAGAACTGTAGAAGCTTCTAGCATGGAAAAATTAACAGTAGATTTATTCAATAGAGCAAGGAACTAAGGATTTTCAATTCAACACATATTTCAAGACAAACCTTGCTCCAGGGTCAATGATCTCCTTTGCTTCAATCTTTTCCTTGTCTGTTAGCTGTTTGCAGCGATTATCAAGAGAAAAGATGAATGGAGATAGTGGATGAGATACTGATATAAATAGCATATCAGACATTTCACTGTTTCTTCGTACTTCTTCATCCTGCATAATTGTTTTCACATTACATTTATTGAAATGAAACGTTTGTCAAGTTGAGCTCGATTGATGGCAAAGAAAAAAACAGAACATTACCGTCAATGTATGTTCAACCTTTGCGACTTCTGCAAGCAGTCTAGCTTCATCGATGAATGGTAGTTTTGCAATGCCCTTCACATCAAGAAGAATTTTAAATCATTCAAATGAAAAACATTTTTTTTGCATGAATTTATAGTGTTAACTAATCTATGGTGTACAAGGTCACAATAGGAAAGACACCTAGGACAAAACTGTGTGAAAATGCTTTTTGCGTGAATTTATTGTTTCAACAAAATTAAGTCAATCACTTATAGCTAAGAAATCACGTAGCAAATCCCAACTACTTAGGACTAAGGTGCCTTGATAATGATAAAATGATCATGCCTCATAAAATATCCGTTCTCACTTTCTAGAAAGTAAAATTTTTTATTTAATAACCAATACCTGCCAAGAAAACCGCTTTCCATTCATGTCCACTTCAAAATCTGACAAACATACCAGCTATATGAACACAATTCATGGTATTCAATATTGAAAGCATTAAGAAATAAAACATACCAGTGGGATAAAAATCAATAATAGGCGAGTTTGGATCTGTCATCAATTTCCTATACTGCTCAGGAAGTGCGTGTGAACTGCATTTGATATAATTACAACCCTTTAAAACTACATACCTTGGGGAAAAATTTAAGAAAAGGCAGTAGTACAAACCTTGCTGCAGGGAAGACACCCAGCAGTTGGTTGAATGGTTTAAATGGAGCACCTAACTCAAATTTAATACTCAATGCTGTAAGATCCTTCAAGTCGGAAGCAAAAGGTGCATAATGATAAGGATAAAACCTGTGAAGAAAAGAACTTGTGATCAAATAAAAAACATAAGATTCATCTTTGTGCGAAGTGATATAGAGAAGAACAAGGGTAGTTTAAGAAAGCACTAAGAAAACATGGTGTAAAACAACAATTTACCACTGCCAGGAACAAACTCCTTCATAATAATAGTGCATAACCCAGCACAGGCCTTCAGTATATTTCAGAACCTACAAAAAACCAAACCTACAATTAGATCATTGACATCATTCCATTACTGTTTCTGTGAAACGTTTTTAAGCAAAACAGCACATGTGATTTCTAATCAACAAGTCACCACAGAACAAATGTCTTACCCAAGCAGAGAGCCTTAAAAAATACAAGGCTGCATGAAGAAAATCCTAAGCATATCTCAACTATTCTAGCCTACAACACATTAGTGAATAATGCATTGAACTGAGCATGTCAAAATTATTTCTAGAGCTGTATAGCTTACAACGTCTTTACGTATCTCTTCCATTTCTTCAGGTGTTTTTGCAGAGAACTTTTCATCATAATACCTCTCTTTCCAACCAGGATCTCCTAGCTTGACCTATAAGAGAACATAATAAAATAACCGCTCATAATGCAGTGACGAAGTATCAAGCACATAGCAAACAGCAACTTCTCCCATTTAAAAAGAGGATGACAGGAAGTCCATAGGGTTACACACAATAATTCAATAATTAACAACAATAAATTAATAATGCCACCATTCTTTTAACTTGCACTGCAGGTATTTCATAAAGGTTAAGAAAAGTAGTAGGGTATAATACTTAGGGTAGAAAAAGTATCAAAGAGAAAGTGAAAAAATTGGGAAAGACCGAAAAAGAAAAGGAAAAAATGGAAAAAGTATGAAAGAATTATAAAAGGGCAAGAAACAAAATGAAAAGAAGTAGGGGTAAAGGTTTCCAAATATAGAAATGAGACAAATCATAAAAAACTTCTCGAAAAGGAATATGTGAAGAGTAATTACAATATTATGACTGTAAAGATAAAAAATAACGATAATAATACCTCTGACCCAATAAACTTTGTCGTGTTAGACTTGGATGGAGAATAAGGGAAATCATGTGGTTGGAGATTGTATCGAGAATAAACAAATCACAGATCCCACACATTTATTTCTTACAAGGGAAAGTGGCACACCCTTTGAGCCATCGATATAACCTTGTTTCACACCTCAAAATTTCTAAAAAAATTAGATCACTTGATTTGGCAAGTTAGATTTACTTTAGGTCATTCAACACACTTTTAGTCATCCATATGATATAACTTCTCACAAATATTTATTAGGGCATGAGAAAAAATTGATGGGGGCACATTTCTTCTCCTAAAAATAAAATAGCTAAAATTATTGTATTAATAATATCATCATTATCATTACCCTAGTGCCACAAAGGCTCCCACCTACGGTGGGGTAGGGGGGTCGAATGTGCGCAATCTTACCCCTGTACTAAAGCACAGCGAGACTGTTTCCGGATGACCCAAAGTATTGTATTAATAACATATTAATAAAAATATACTGGGCATGTGGCTCTCACCCTCTACAACATAGGTCCACTGATAGTTACATTAATATTATAAATAAAGTATGAGCAAATCCTGAGATGATGGTGAAGGAAAATGTATAGGGACTATGTTTGGTATCATTTGATGTAAGGGCAACTACGAATCCATGGCTATTATTGAGTGATCTACTTATGTGCTTTCTCAAAGCTAGAAATTCAGTTTGAAGCAATGTCCATTGAACCCAGTTCCTACTAGTTGTATCATTTGATTCATTTCAGAACACCAGCACATCAACAAACACTCATAAATATAAATGATGTATGAATATGAACTTGGGGCATTTTAAAAATATGCAGCATCATAACATAGCACAGGCGGTCTTTTGCAAGAATAGTAAAAAGAGCAGAATTGCAAATAGAGCATATAACCAGGTATAATATAGTTCTCAACCTTGTCTTCTTCAGGATTTTCTGAGTTGAAAACATCATTTTTTTCACGAAGCAGCTCTTTCAGCTTAGTTTTCAATTCTTCTTTTGTATCACGAACCTTAGACACATAAACAAAATGTCAATTAAGCACTGAAAATCAAGGATGCAGATGAAGAAAACTATTAGTGGTGAAAGAAACTTGAATGAGGTAAAAACATTGACAGGAATGGCCAAATTATGCGCAAATTTTACACGAGTAAATCAAATAGCATACAAGATCATTCCCTTCCTAAAGCATGACAGGAGTAAGAATTACATTAAACTGCCTCTCCTGAAGCAGGAACACATACTTCAATTTCAAGATTACGCTCAGCTTCAACGATTGCAGCTCCTACTGAGGCCCCAGATGTTGAGCGTGCAACTTTTGTAGCATGGCTACGAGTACAACCATCACGTGAATTTCCGGACTGTTCATTCTTATTGTTATGCCGAAATTGATTAGATCGTGCCCCATGTTGATATGGAGAAACTGTGGGGCCAGAAGCAAGACGAGACCCATGGAACCGAGCAACCGGAACCAATGATTCAGGTTCAAATTCGGGCACAGACTCATCTCGTCGTTTTTGGGTTTTTTCACGCTTGATTCTTTCAGCTTGCCTCTAAAAAAGTTTAAAGATGAATCAATAAGTTACGGAGGTACACTAGGGGGCATAAAATGAAAACTGTGTCCATCTAATTGAACATAGCAAGGCAGGAAGTTCCACACAAATATATTTAAAATATGAAGAATTATTGTAAGACTGTACGACTGTAAAAGTAAAATGCCTACAGAGTTAAGAAATTCAGGAGTATTAAACACAATAGAGTTACAAATGGCACACCTATGCCAAATTAATGGAAAGAAGATAGAATTTCAAAAACTCAACATAGAGGAATAAGGAAAAATAGAGCAAGAGGCAGATACTCCCTCCAGTAATACAGATTTTTATATACTTGCTCTACTTTCCCTCTTTGGTAATGTGATCTTATCAAATGACATAAACACCGCCACTTTTCCATCTCATTTCCTACCGTTCTTTCTTGTTTTTCTTATCTCTCCTATTCTTTTACTTTTTATATATATAAAAAACTCTACACTCTGCACTACCCTTACAATTTTATTTCTAACCTCCGCGGAAATCGTCAGGAGCAGCTTATAGTTAATGGATGGAATTAGAGATTAGACTGAGGAAAACCTGATGCAAGCGCGCCCTTTTCTGGAATATTCTATCTTCATATGACCCCACAGCCTGTATAAAATGCTCCACCCTGCCAAGGTTTGGCTACAGAGACAATTGTGGGAGACAAATTTAAGAGAAATGATGATTGAAGTTGCAAAAATTATAAACACTTCGAATAAAATTTTGAATACCTTGCTTCCATCAGTCAAATACCCTCCTAGAGACCTAAACTCCTTTTTGTAAACAGCCATCAACAAGTTAATTGCACCCTGAGTGAAAGTAATAATGAATATTGAAGATTGCTACATATCCTTGAATCTTTTATTTAAATGACAAGATGCGAGGGTGTAGGCCTGTAGGTACATTGAAATAATACCAATGATGGGTTCAAAGAGAGCTAGTATCTGAAACTTATTAAACTATTTGCTACTACTGATCTAGAGCGTGAAAAGATGGTCAAAGAAACACGCCCGCTAAATAGCAATGATAGCAATCCAAATTCCTAGAAAAATACGAACATAGCAAAAGATATACTAACCTCACGGATCTCAAGTGTGGGCATATGTGGCAGAAAATCATTCCCAACAAAGAAACACATGAATATAAAATCATCAACAATGCGCTCCAAATCAATCTTAAAAGGAGGGTTCGGAATTCTGAATTCATACTCCAAGTACTCTCTCAGGGTCCAGATATTGAGAAACTGCAAATTTCAATCCATTCAGAAATGCACCATTTGTAATTGCAAAGTCAAGCACAAGGAAGATAAAGAATGTAGAATATATAAACGTGTATGATTGGAAATCAGAACCACAACTTAACCTGATAAGGCTTTTTTCCCACCACTTCTGTGTCACCTTTTTCATCAAACTCTCCAGCTTTTCTCTTCGCTTTTCCTTCACACTCTGCTGCTCTGTGGCCCATTTGACCACATAGAAAACATTTGTCTTGCTGACCAGGAGTGAATATAACCTGAAAAGGTGAATGAAATTTAACTCAGCCCATCGAGCAAAACAGATAATTTTTTTTATTCATAGAAAATCTGGCAAAATACAATGATCAAAAATTCTAGAAACTAAAGTGAAGCATTTAGAATGTCTAGCAGCTTCCTGCATAACCCTAACCCCAAAAGAAAATACAGATATCTGAAGTTGTACGCATAGTTGCATTTTTATAAATATCCAGAAATTTAATAATATCTCTCAGTGTTGCAAATCGGCCACAAATGTCACAATAGAGGTAAGCATCCTTGGGGCATTGAAAACTTGAATTGCTTACCTCTCTAAGTATAGCGAAGTGCACTTCATGAGTGGCCAATGCCAACATGATTAAATCTGCATCCTATCAATAACAAACAGAAACATCTCTTATAATGTCAAGTATTATGCAATTTGGAAGTAAATGTTCCATCCACAGGTATTCAAGAAATTTGAAGTACAAAACATACCAAGCCATACAGGCAATGGCGTGTATTGGGGTCAAAGCCCTGAAGGTTCCTTTGCAGACGAATGTATGACATTATTTTGTGTTCCCCTTCACCGGGAATGTTAGCATCCGAAAGTATAACCTAGAAAGTGAAAGATCAAGCATCAACTACATACTTTGACACAAAACAGACCACATATATCTGCAATGAAAACTAACATTAAAATAACCTTAATGTTTCTCCATCCAGGATCATAGTTTAGCCTGAGATGTATGTAGTACTGGAGTGCAATTGACAGAGTCTCCATGAATGGAGTTCCAGGAGTGATGACATTTGAATCAAAAGTTTGTGATTCCAGCTTGGGGGGGAGCTTCCTACCCTCCTTCTCAAACTCCTCACGCAACCTCTCCTCTTCAGCTGCCTACAAATATGACTTTCAGAATCTGGACCCTAAATTAATTGCTTTTTATAACTTTCATTTCAACTTCTCAAGGCCTATTTGTATGGTACATACCGCATCAGCCGCGTCTTTTGCTGCTCTAAAGCGCCTAGACCTTTGCTGATTCATCTTTGCTCTTGGAGCAACACCATCTGCAGGTATATGAAGTCAGTAAGGAGTACAGACTACAGAGTCCTTTATCATAAAATATATAGCTAAGGGGAAAAATCATCACATCCACATTACATACCTATGGCCATGTACAATAGCTTTCGAGGGCGCACCATTACAAAGAGCCTATCAATATAGTCGAACATGCATCGAAATACCTCCTCAAATGTGGTAGGTGAAGGCTGCAGAGGAAAATGAGAAAGTTGTTTCAATCACACAAAAGTTGGTGTGTGAAACCATGCATCTAGTGTGTGTTTATAACAAAAAGATATAGAAAATCTTCTGTGATAATATGTCACAAATACCAGCATGTTCAAATCTAAAACAGTAATAACTAATATGGAGTAGGAATTTTTTACCCGAAAGATAGATTAACCATCAATCAAGGAATGAAAGATGAGAATTGTGGATATAAGGCTTTGAATGATTGAAAACTATAAGTCTAAGAACTAAAAATCATAAATTTTATTTTTGTTTTAAATTATTTTTAATTTTTAGCATTATTCATTTATTTAATTATATTAAACTAAGAAACTTTTGTGAACAAAATATGATCACTAATTAACAATAAAATAAATATAATTACAGAAATCAAAATCCATTATACTTTAGGTCTTTCATTGAAAGTTTTAAATCATTCTGGCTATATGTCTACAATTGTACCTTTCTTTACTTGATTGATAGTTGAGCCATCTTTTGATCAAATTCCTAACTGATAACTTCTACCAAGTAATATCATTGCCTAAGGCAACATAAATCTCACTTCAACTTCAAAAGAAAAAGAACTAAACAACAAAGGCAAACTAATTATATTTCATACGCGAACTTAACAACTAAAAAGTTCAACAGAAAGCTACTACAATACTGAGCTGGAAACGAAGTGGGCAGGCCATAGTAAGCAAAAGGCAAGAAAGATACTCACTCGGTCTTCGGGGTGGAAACATGGATGAATAATACCATTCATATCGAGATAGAGATTATCAAATTCGATGTTGTTAGGATTTGGTTTACTGGTATCCACTGGAATTTTGACACCTTCGATCTCCACGGGCTCTTCCTCGATCACATCCACCACCACCGTGGAATACTTCTCAGCAAGCCACCGGTAAAATGCCGGAACTCCCATTGCACGATACTAAACAAGCACCCCCGAAACGCAGTTGGGTGATACGTAAATTTGTATGTATAAACTCAGAGGGACGATAAGCAATTCACAGAGGACAGTAAGGCCATGCGTAACCTAAGATTACAACCAGAGCACCTTAGATGCAAAGAATATGCGGAACAAGGTTACGTGCTCATCCGAACGATACGTGAATTCGCGATAGCGAGTTAGGGCAAGGGATTTTATTAAGGGACTATACTGCCCCTTTTGTTTTGTTTTGTTTTGTTGTATGGAAATAGCCTATTTTTTGTAGGCAAAATCCTAGTAGTAAACTAATTTTAAAAAAAAATGTACTACGTATCATATTTGAAATTGATAATGCTTCTCTAAGTCTTTATTATTGAAATCGGAAGTGGAATAAGAATCAGTTTGGTATGTCAAATAACAAGGATGGTAGGATCTTAGTTTGGCTTTTCATAGTGGTCAGATTTCTATTGAGAGACAACCAAGTTGATACAGCCGCTAATAGACTCAAAACTAGGGGTGGGCAAAAATACCGAACCGGCATGGTACCGAACCGAACCGATATGGTACCGGACCGAAAAATGGGGTTTGAAACGGATCTCAATTTTTTTTGTCCCGAACCGAATCGTACTGATTCTAAACAATGCCATGACCGGTTCTCATAAAATGAGAACCGGTACCGGACCGGACCGGACCGAAGTATGATTCAATGATTTAAATTTACATTTATACCCTTACTTTGACTACTATCTTCACACTTTCACCGTCTTTGCTAATTCATAGGAAGCCTGGAATCGGACCGATGTATGGTTTAATTATTTATATTTGTACTACTATAATTTATCTGAAATTTATTAATTATGTAAAATACTACATTCATCCCAAATTGATTTGCAAAATTAACTTTTCTTGGTCAAACAGTTTCATTTTATTCACTTAACTAGAATGTCACTTTTTAATTATATTTAATTTGGAGCTTGCAACCTTGAAGAGATTTCAATGTAGTTTCTGAATATGTTTATTTTAATTATTAAAAAATAAATCAATTATCAATAAAGAGAATTTAACTTTAACATGGTTGACAAAAAAAATATTGACTTTGCATGTCAATTTGGGATAAAATGAGTATTAAAATTGATAAATTGTGTCGATTTTTGGAGGATGAATAAACTTTAATTTTCTCTTAAGCACTTGAAAAAAGTGGCATTGTTTGGTATTGGTATGGCATGGTACCGTCCTGTTTCAAAATGAAACCGTACCGAACGGGTTTAGGTCTAAGACCGAACCGAACCGAACCGTTTGAATAGTAACGGTTCGGCCAAATATTGGACCGGACCGGACCGCGCCCACCCCTACTCAAAACTGTCACATTTTCATCGATTAATCTCACTTTTTTGGGGGATGGGCTACTCTATGTCTGAAAAAGAAGTGGGGGGCGGTGGGCTTGTGGTTAGGTTGGTTTAGCGGGAGGTTAGTGTTGGATGATTACTTTATGATTTGCAATTTCTCTAGTTGTAGTGCGAGTTTGATTTAATATAATTCTTCAGCTTCCTTTCAAAAAAAAGAATCCGTTTTTTTGAATTGTTTATCGCCCCTCTAAATTTATACGGAGTATATACATATATACGGATTACACGGCTACATTTTGGGGCTGCTTGTTTAGTATCGTGTAATGGGAGTTCCAGCATTTTACCGATGGCTTGTTGAGAAGTATACTACGGTGGTGGTGGGTGTGATTAAGAGCCCCTCATATCAAAGGTGTCAAAATTCCAGTATTTTTGCACTTTCATATAAAAAATGGCACTCCCACCCGCCGAATACCAAATGACGCTAATAGGTGATGAGCGGGGATCAATTGGGATGATGAAATTTCCTTAGTTTTTATTTTTGTGGCTAATAACTAATAAGGACATCATACACATAACAAATAATGTTGTATGCTTAAAAGTTTGGTAGCCTTTAATGGAAGTAGTATTAGAAGTTTTGGTTTGATTGCGTGATCATAATACTTTAATCTAATTTAGTTTTACTTCAATTCTCCATTTTTATGTAAGTACAAATTTACTATCATTTGTTATTACTTTCAGCTGATGTGGTCCTTTAATTTTTATTTTGTTTTAGTACTTTATTTCAAATAATTAGTCGATTGTTTCTATTTGAGAAAACTCTCAAATAGGCCCTCGTACTTAGACAAAATCCTCAATTAAGCCCTTGTACTTCCGAATCACCCAATTAAACCTGCGTACGCACCAGTAGCAACCAATCAGGCTTTTTAGCCGGCGACCACCCGGTTAGCCTGCTAGTGGCTGACATGGCCTCCGGCATGTCCCTCCCCTTACCCGACACATTAAAATGACGTGGATATTCCCATCCCCAAATAATAACCAAATCATCCCTTCAGACCTAGGTTAATTCCCACCGGGTAAAAATAACCAAATCCTCCAACAGACAAATCTTTCTCCTTCTCCAATCTCCATCTCTGTGACGGTGTGCCCTTTGACGAGCCTTCGCAAGCATGTCGTCTTCATCATCATCAACGTTTGTAAAAGAACGAAGTCGTACCTTTGACTACGAGCCTGCGGTTCATTGTTGGTGTGGATTGAAAGCTCCACTATGCGTTGGGCGAGAGAGTGGGAGAAGCTTTTTTGGGTGTAAAAAATGGAAGGTTAGTGTATGATGTGGCTCTGTGGTTTTGAATTACAGTGGCTTGCCTTCTCGGTTTCTTCATATTTTTCAAGCGTTGTTCTTGACTTCTCAAAAATAGCATGAACATCTTAATGTCAACAGGTTGGGAGTTGCGGTTTTTTCTTATGGAAGGAAGACGTAGGAATGAAAGACATTGTCAGGGTTGAAGACAAGAAAGAAATTTTCATGGCTGAAGCTAAGATCAAAATTGCATATGATTTGAAAAAATTGCCTGGGGGAATTGCTGAAAAGATTTCTCATGTACACACTGCTGTGGATTGTGTCCAGACTGTGGTTGACAATGAGGCTTTGGTGAACAAAAAGAGTAGGAAGTTGTATGGATTTGCTATGATTGTACTTCTAGGTTTAGTTGGTAATTTGTATTTGAAGATGTAATGGCTTAGTATGTTAGCACTTTGAATGGCTTTCAAGTTTCTTTGTGATGTAATGGCTTTGGTCAACTGTGTTTATACTGCTAGGATTGTGTAATGGGAAGGTCATGTGTAATGTCTTTCAGTTGGTGCCTTTATGTAATGCCCTAGTTTGCTAGTACTTGAATGGCACAATGTTGCTTCATGTAATCCATTTGCAATGGAATAATATGCTTCATTGAAACTTACTTATGATAGTTTTTGTAACACATCATAGTTTCTATAGTATATGAAATGGCTTATAGAACATATTGCCTGAACTGAGTTTATGAACAAGTACTGAGGGGATTATAGTGCCTGGACTGAGTTTCTTATGCACAGGCATCTCAGTATGCATGTTCTTGTAGTCTTTTGGTTAATGACTATATTGAAGTTGTTGTACTCCTTTCTTCCAATGTGCACATGCATAAGATCTTGAATTTGAAGGTCAAAGTACTCCAATGCGCACAGACATAAGACCTTCCAATGTGCACAACCATTTCAGTACTCTATTTAGTATTTGACTATTGAGCCCTATGTACTGAATTTGTCTTGTTTGACTACCCCCAACCAGACATAAGAACAAATGTAAACCCCAGATCATATGGTATAAATTAGGTGTTGTGTTGTTCATTAAAACTATCCCCAGGACCTCATTTAACTCTAGGACCCCAAACTGAGTACTTCATACACCCAAATAACCAGTAATTCATATCCATGTTGCTCAATATGCATTAAGCATATATAACACCATTACTCAGTAGTTCATTAACACAATAAACCAGTACTTCATATCCATGTAGCTCAATATACATTAAGCATATCTAACACCATTACTCAGTAGTTCATAAACACAATAAACCAGTACTTCATATCCATGTAGCTCAATATACATTAAGCATATCTAACACCATTACTGAGTAGTTCATATACCCAATAAACCAGTACTTCATAGAAATAATTATCCCCCATATGACTAAAACACTTTCACTTTCCCAATCTAAGACCAAACTAGTTTTTTTCTCAAAATATTACCTAAATTTGTATTATTTAATTAAAATTCGTAATTAATAAATAATTAAATTATTTCTATGGACAAATATACCGTTTATGTTATATCTATAAAACCCTGAGTTCCTACCCTTTTTCTCCAACCCTAGCAACTAGACACAAAAGATCTCTTTGGTTCCTGCGCTCCCCGCACGCCTTGCTGCCGCCGGCTCACCGTCCGCCGCCGTCCAATAGCACGGCCGCCGCCACCAGTCCATCTACTCGCAGGTTTCACGGCCACCCCTAATCCCTCGTTAGTTCGCTGCAGGCATCGCCAAAAATCGACCTCGCCAGAAATATGTAAGCAACATTACCTATATAGACAAACATCACACGTTCACACCAAACATGTTGAAAGAATTATAGCAACGTTTAAGAATGCTTACTTGAAAGATTAAAAATACTACCAATGTTGTACCAAATTGATAGAATAGGGGTATTAGACATGTTTTTATCAAGTGTATCAGGTTAGGTGATAATAATTACTCCATCTATCCCATAAAATAGTTCCCACTAGGATTTGGATCGGAACTTAAGAAAGTTGGAATCAAGTTGAAATGTATGCTTGTGGTTGGGTAAGAAAAGGAAATGAGAAATATTTTTTGGGAAGATCCAAAAAGGAAATGGGGAACTATTTTGCAGGACGAAGAGAGTAAGATTTTAAAATTTCCATTATTTTTATGAATTCTAGAGCATTATAAGATTCCAAATGATTACTAGAGTACCTAAATGTAGTTATCATTATTGGTAGTTCAAAATTAGAAAGTAATAACACAACTCAATACACAATTCAAGAGGAAAAGGAGTATGTTTCTCCTCCAAAATACTATGCCGAAGAGAACTATCAACTGCATCAAAGCATGCATAATAGAGGTTGTCAAAGAGTTCACCAACGTGAAATCAACAATTGAAAATGAAAAAAGTTGTTGGTGGTTTAAGAAAGATTGTGTTTAACAATGCAATTTTAATCAAACCAAAACACCCGTCAAAATTAACCTAAACAACAAAGGATATAACAAAGTTGGGTTCTTCTTTTGAGATATTATCACTAAAGGAAGTATCTGATAGAGAGAATAATGAGAAGTTTCAACGAAAGGATGTTTTGACAGACTA